GATTTGAACCGCATGCCTCTGGGATTGCAGTGCAACTTCTTGCCACTATGCCACCAAAACTCCCTTGAAATATTTAATAATGTTTTATGTAAAATTGCCAACCCTTTTCCAAGTTTTTATAACTGTAATATTTAAAAATGATACTTATTCTACCATTTCTTTTTAGTTAGTGGCATAGTAGTAAAATGAGCAATAGGACTGCTTTACCATCTTACTAGATCCTATGGTACTCTACCTTTAACGTTTTCATGCTATATCAAACATGTTGATTATGGATCCGAGCAAGCTGTAATTGCTAACAACCACAATCTCTTTTCCACCTATTATGGGCTGCCAATTGGCCCAGTATTGAGAATCTTTGTATTCTTGATATTGAGCTTCAATCCTTATTGAAGACTACAGTCCTTGATCTTTTGTAGCAAGTGCTTCAGATCTTCTTCAGTTTCAGCAAGCAAGTGCATCTGCATATTGTAGGTTGTTAATGAGTCTTTCTCCAATCTTGATTCCACACTTCTCCTCATAAAGCCCTGTCTCCCGATGATCTGTTTTACATACAGATTGAAAGGTACAGGGACAGGATGCATCCGCAATGCACTCATTTCCTGATTTTGAACCATGCACTGTTTCCTTGCTCCATTCTGAGGACCGCTTCCTGGTCCAAGTATAGGTTTTGTACAAGCATGATCTGAGATTCCCATTTTCCTCAAGGTTAGCCACAATTTATTGTGATTAGCACAGTCAAATGCCTTTACATAGTCAATGAAACATAGATAGACATTCTTCTAGTCTGCTTTTGGGTAAGATCCATTTGACACTGACAATAATATCCCTAGTGCCATGACCACCAGCAGTCAGGAAATCAAAAGACAAGTTGCATTGAGAAAATCTGCTGTCATAGACCTCTCCAGAGTGCTGAAGAGCAATGATGTCAGTGTAGAAACAAAGGTAAACCTAATCCAGGCCATTGTCTTCTTAATTACTTGTTATGCTTCAGAGAGTTGGACAATGACTAAAGATGACAGAAGAAGAATAGATACCTTCAAGTTGTGGTGCTCTAGAAGTGTCTTGAACATAACATCGACTACCAAGAAAACAAGTAGGCCTATCTTGGAGAGGGTGAAACCAAATCTCTCCTTGGAGGCTAGGATTTTGAATCTCTGTCTCACTTACTTTGGGCACATGGCCAGGAGACACTGGTTCTTGGAGAAGGACATTATGCTTGGAAGCATCGATGGACAGTGCAGGAGAGAGAGACTCCACATGAGATGGATTGACATAATAACTGGGGTGATGGGGGTTAGTGTGTTAGAATTAGTGAGACTGGCTCAGGACAGTGAAGGGTTCAGAGTGACTGTACATAGGGTTGCTACACATAGCAAGTGATTCTAGAGCACATAACAATAATGTACTATGACAGGTTTGGAAGCAGGAGTGGCATCCACTTCCTAACTAACATGCCTGCAGAAACTATGAACTTTGATAAGCGTTGACAGTTGCAGAGGAGCTTCAGACCTTTTGTTCATAGGGTCACTATGAGTAGTGCTTGACTCGAAGGCAATCAACAACAATAACACAACAACAACATCAAACATGTTTAAAACACCCTCTCATTTTAAATACAATTCTGTGCAGTAAAATTTTTTAAAAGATTTTTTTACTGTTTTCATTTTTAAATTATTTGGCTATGCATAATTTATTATTTAATAAAACACATCTATTTGTCATTTGAAAATACATTCTCAAAATCAGAAATAGAATGTATTAATGAAGAAGGATATAAAAGAGGAAATACAAATGTAGTTACTGCACCTGCCTGCCAGGGTAACCAGGCGAACCAATATTACCAGCGAGTCCTGGAATTCCCTGAAATGAAAAGGAAAATAAATGAAACAATACAACAAGGTCAGAAAGAAGCATGTTTGGTGTATATGTAAGACTCCAAGTTGCATGATAATCTCCCTTAAAACAAGTACTCAGAATCTTGTCCAGTATTAGCTGGATAAAATCATGGATGAGAAGTGTAAATAGGTCAACATTATCAAATAAAAAGAAATAAAATTGTCCAACTAAGGTCCCATTTAGTGATTATAAACAATGACAAATATATCATGGAAGAGTTCAACTCTACTTAACCAATTATTGTTTAGTCAGTATATTTCCAATAATAGTTAAACTTTTGATTCAAATTGTTTGTCTTAATTAGCCTGATACGTCTTGACTACCTCAGCATAAGTCTCAGAAAAACAAGAGCTTAGAAAGTAAAAACAAAACAAAACCCAAAAAACTCAATCCCTTGCCACTTTCTAAACGAATCTTTATAGAATAGCGGATAAACACTTTCATTATAACATGGGTTTATATGAAAATTTGCATAATAACTTTGAGAAAAAAACTGAATTGTCAACTGTATTCTTGCTTTAAAATAAGACCTGTTTAAGAAGACTTCTATACAGAGGCTCAAGACAAAACAAAAGAAAATTAACTGCAGGGCTAGGTGAACACGTGAGAAGAAATACACCTCCATGTTTGTCCCTTTCCTTTACTCCACATTTGATACATTAGTCCTTCAAATTTTCATCAGCATATTGATCGTGCAGCTACATGAAATTAAATAATTCTTGAACCAAAGGAATGCTAAAAGAATGTGTGATGAGTTTACTCTCAAATGATGACAGGAACTGAAAGTGACAGATTCCTTATTATAGAAAATTCATTTTCTACGTGTTTTTAAAAGTGATAATTAAAGATAATAAATCTCTGCCCCTTTACTCTGATGTAAAATATTCCTGGTGGTATAATGTATTATAAAAAATGCAGACCAAAATTTGTTGGTTCAAATTCACCAGTTTCTCTGGAAAAGAAATATGGTCAGTCACTTCCCATAATGATTTACAGCCTCAAAAATTCAGTGGAGGGTTGACTTAAGTCAGAACCTGCTTGACAGCAGAGAATTTTATTCTGGTATAGACAGAAGTATGTTTCTTCCAAATTAAATATATTGCTGATATTATGTGACATCAAACTCACTATAAACATAGAGACCCTATGAGCAACATAAATGAACATTGATCATGCTATTCTCACGTGTCAGCTATGCTCAATTCCATTACTACCGTCACTGTGTCAATCCATCTTGCTGATTGTTTTCCTCCATTTAGCTAATCCTCCAACTTTTCCAAACATCATTTCTTTCCTCAAGGACTGGCTGGCCCCTCCTGCCAACATGTCCAAACTAAGTGAAATGGATTTTCACCATTCTTGCCTCTAAGGAGCAATCTGGTTGTACTTTCTCCAAGTTACAATTGTTCATTCTTTTTATAGTCCATGGGAAATTCAGTACTCCTCCCCAACACCACAACTCAAGGCATTAATTCTTCTTCAGTCTTTCTTATTCATATCAGGTTTTCAGATGCATAGAAAGCAACTGTAAATAACACACATTGGATCTTCAACAGCAGATTTTCCCAATGCCACATGACTTATGATTTCTTGAATGTTACTATTATCAGTGTTGATTGTGGATCCAAATAAAATTAAATCCTCGACAATCCAGAACTGAAGGAATAATAATTCACGTTTCAACAAACAGACGCTGCACTAAGTGTGTTCACCAATTTGTGCCAAGAAATCTGGAGGACAAGCACCTGGTCATCTGACTGCGAGAGATCTATATTTGTTCGCATTCCAAAGAAAGGTGACCCAAAAGAGTGTGGAAATTATCAAACAATATTATTAATATTACTTGCAAGGAAGATTCTGCTGAAAATTATCCAAAAACAGTTTGAACAGTACATTAACAAAGAACTTCCAGAAGTGTAGGCTGAGTTTAGAAGAGCCTATGGTAACAATGATAATATAGCTAATGTTAGATGGATTTTGGATAAAAAGAGAAAATACCAGAGGAATGTCTGTCTGTGTTTCAGTAACAATGCAAAGGCATTTGACGGTGTGAATCACAACCAACTCTGGCTAACTCC